TCCCAGATGTCAAAAGCATCTGCTGTAATTCTATAAGGTTAGTTTGTAATATAGACTTCTACATAGTTTGGAGCACAAAATGAGAATGTATCTTGCTCACTTAAAGTATTTAGCGTGGTCTTCATTCTGGTGGCTCCACTGCATTCCTGCTGAAGGATCCTGAACATCCTTCAACTAAATTTTGCAATCTTTAATTGAGCAAAGTATTCAGAAAGCAATGTATTTTGATATCTCCTATTCTTGCCACTGAATTTGAAGGGCATTTGAATATGATAGACAGAACCCTTCCTTAATGTTATTTCAACCTAGGGAATGTTGCAAATCTCTCACTGTGTGGCTGCATTTTCATTAATTTCCTTTCTAAATATCCAAAGCATGTATTCTTCCATGGGGCTGAGATGAGAGATCCTCTGTACACAAGGAAAGCTTTAAGATTTGGCTCATTGATCCTATTATGGAACTCTATTTCAAAGAAGCACTTGTGGATAGCAACACATACTCATATATTTCTCCCACATGCCCACATCGACTTTGATAAATATCTAAATCTGTAAGTTGTACTCCTCATCTGCCAGTGCTTGTGGTCAGCAAATTATGGATGGTCTTTAGCAACCAGTAAACCAGTAGAGGCTAGGTTTTTTAGCTGGTGTAATGCTCTTCTAAGAAAATATACAAAGAGATAAAAATATTCATTAAAACATCTGAATTAATCACTGTTACTAGTTCAGAAGAGAGCAGAGACTAAATGAGGTTAAAACTTCTCATAAGAAACATTTTATAAGTAAAAATAAGCAGAGAAAATATTAAGAAGACACTTCTTATAAGTTGCTGTTTTGAGAAGACAATTCCTGGGAATTTTCAATGGGACTTCAGTTGGTTGACAATTATTTTGGGAATATTTAAATTCTCCCTACTCCTACTTCATTCAATATTTTTTTTCTCTTAGCAAGTTAAGCAGCAAGGTGACTATATTTTGCACTCATTTTTATAATTGGTGAAATAATAGTATCTTCCTATATGACTCTATCTTGTTACTCACCACCAAGAATTTCAAAGCATTTTACAAACCATATTACATTTATAACAGTTATTTTGCATCTTACGGATAGATATCGATTTCTGAGGAAAATACAGTAGCATACAGTGTTGAATTATAGATATTTGTTCTGAGGTCCAAGGAGAGTTTCTCATTTACTTAAGGAGTCAGATCTTTTGTTAGAGAACTTCTTAAGCAACTGAATTGAGCATGAAGTCAAGCATAAACATAAAACAGGATTTCATGTCCAGCCTCTTTCTGTCACATGCAATATAGAACCTCATCTGCACTGTGTCTTTTGAACTGTAGATGAAGTTAACTATACTAGTAATCTGGAAGCTGCAAGGCATCAGGTGTTGTGCCTTTATTCATGTAACCTCTGTTAAGTACTCAAGCTCCTTCTATATTTTGGCTACAGGTTTAGGATTTAAAACGTGAATGAGTTGTTATGCATGTAAAGCACATCAAAGTGACAAGGAGTTAGGGTGATTTTTAGCATTCAGGTGTGACATCGTATGTCAACACAGCACTGTACTAGGCTCATGAGTCCACCTGAAAGGTTTGGATCTTATATCAGCTGATATGTGTATAACCTTTGCACAGTAGTTCAAGTGCGGATATGATATTATATGCTCACTTTCCACTATGACAATGTGCACAAACAGTGGGGTTAACTGCTTCCTGCTGTTAGAACCTAGTTCTAGGAGGTTTTAACAACTGGAGGCAATTTTCATAGCAGACATTTTAGCAATGAGTAAAATCTTACCTTGCTATTCTATCCATCAGTCTCTACGAGAATTTTGTCATTAATGGACTGGCATTTCACACTGTTATTCATGTTGGTGTTTCAGTGTATATTCTGGTCTCAGAAATCTTGAAAGCATTGGACTCTGTGGCATAATAATTTACAGAAAACTTGTATTCCTCTGTGCAGTGGAAGGAAGACTGTACTAGAATAGGCTCACTGTGGTAGAAAAGAAGGCTCTATCACTTCTTGCAAAGCATTAGATTCTGTGAATGGGAGGGCTGTGAGTTCCCAGAAAGCAATTTGTTTGTATTCAGAAAGAGTACACATACTAAGCATAGCGTCTGGTTCAATTTGTATTGATTATGTAATAGCAGGTTGTACCATCTGTTCAGCAGTGGTATATCATTCTGCTTTCTTCTATCACACCTTTCTCTTGCTGATCTTATGCTTGAGCTTCAGTTTAGATTTTCAGTGCTGGGTGTTGCAAAAGAAAAATGTGCCACAATCTTCTCTTGATCTTGCTTATATTTTCCTTAAGTGACTTCTTTCAATGTGATGGGTGGACAGCAGCCTTTTTAACAGATGTTTCTCACAGGGTATTGCATAATTATTTTTCAAGAGGCTTCTAAAAGCAGATGTTTCCACATCTTTGTTCTTTCCCCTCTTGACACTTCAACACAAACAGCAGATTCCACTGCTGCTGTCCTTCAGATCTAGTGAAAAAAATACCATAGCAATGATGTTGAATTTTTTCAGCTCATTTGGCAATAGTAAATATGTACTGGCACGATTCTTCTCCCTTTCCCCCTTGTCACTGGCCATGTTTGCACACAGTATCTCATGCTTTCTCTTTTGGAAACACTGTCTTTTTCTACAACCTTTGTATAGTTGATCTTTACTTTCTTCCAAAAAATTTTCACATTGAGAGCAAGAGTAAATCTTTGACTTCCTGCCATTTCAGTATATAGTTTTTGTTCTTATTCCAAGGTAGATGACAACTGTGCCCTGTGACACCTCCACCACTGTGAAGAAAGACTCTTTGGTATTACTTTGAATATTTTTGGGTGAAATAGCTCTGTTTTCTCTTTCTCTCTCACAAATAGAGATACAACAACTGGACTTTCCTATTGTTTACAGAAATAGCTCCGCTTTCTTGCAAACCATTTTGTAAGGGGACTTCCTAATTTGAGTATTTTTTCCTCAAAGACCAAGGGAATGCAACTAAGAATGAAGAAGAGGGCAGGCCCGGACAAGTTTCACCCAGCTATAATTTATCATTACAAAAGATGAATTTCAGCTGTTAGTCTAAAATGATGATAAATGCCTGGATGAAGAAAACAAAAACTTTCTAGTAAATCTACTCTGTATCTTACTTTAAACGTCATGTTACTTCCTGTAGTAAAACATCATCTGATGCTATAGCACTTTGGATACATGACAAGTTTCATCCTTTCTGATTGATTCTGGGTTATTTACTAATTGGTTTGGGTCTAGTGACAAGGGTCTTGCTTTTCTGGATCCTGAGGGAAAGCACAGCATTTTTGAAATACATAGAATATTTTAAATTTCACAAGCTTTACCTGAAACAGAATCACAGAATGGTTAAAGTTAAAAAGGGCCAGTGGAGGTCATGTACATCACAGTACAGATTCCTGCTCAAAGCAAACAATTAGAGTTGTGTCCAGTAGGGTTTTGAGTATCTCCGAAGTAGAGACTGGTAAGCTTCTTTAAACAACCTCTTCCAGTGTTTAGACACTATCACCTTAAAAAGGTTTGTTCTTATATTTATTTTTTATTTATTTGTTTGAGTGTTTACGAGAACATTATGGAAGACAGTTTTGAAAGCTTTTCTAAAATCAAGATGAATTACATCCAATCACAGTGTTACAGTGTGGTTACGGTTGAAAAAGGGATCTTTAGAGTTCATTTGGCCCAATAGAGTTCATTTGGTCAAGCAGGGCCACCTAGCTCAGGTTTCTATTGAATATTTCACAGGAGACCCCACAACATCTCTGGACAACTTCTTATATTGCTTAGTCACCTGCACAGCAAAGAAGTGTTTTCTCATGCTCAGAAGGAGTTTCTTGTGTTTCAGACTGTGTTCATTGTTCTTGTCTTGTCCCTGAGTGCATTGAAAAGAGCCTGGAAGATGCTATTTGTCCAAATCCTTTCTGCTGCCCTTCTTGAAGATGTTACATTTGCTTTCTCCTTCTTAGGGAACTTCTCTGACTGCTATGACCTTTAAAAGGTAATTGAGAGTAGTCTCAGAGAGTCATTGGCCAGCTGTCATGGGTGTGTCCTATTTAGCCTTGTGTGCTTGTGGGTATCCAGTGAGTTTAAATGTTCCCTAACCTGATTCTCCTCTATTAAGGAAAGTCTTCTTTGTTCCAGACTTCTCCTCTGGTGTCTGGGGCTCCTGAAGACAAATAAATTCCTAGTAAAGACTGAGATGAAGAAGTCACTTAGGATTTTAGCCTTTTCTGTTTACTTTGTTAGCAGATCCCATGCCCCATTTGGCAGCTGTTCTACGTTTTCCCATGTCCTTCTTTTTCTGCTGATGTACTGGCAAAACTCAGGTTTTTTTGCACTTGACATCCCTTGTCAGATTCAGCTGCAGGTGGGATTTGGCTTTCCTAAACTCTTCTCAGACTGAGCTTATATTCTTCCTGGGTGCATCCATCCTTGCTTCTGGCTCTTGCATATTTGAGTTTTGTCGGAAGCACCTAGATCCATTCAGGACTCCTGCCAGCTTTCCTCAAATTCCTGCACATAAGCATGGACTGTACTGAAACACAAAGGAGGTGATATTTCAAAATATCTTCTTTTTGGAGGGCTATATCCGTTGGGATTCTTCCAAGAAAGTTCCTGAATAGGCCAAAGTCTTCTCAAAATATAGTGTAATGATCCTTTTTACCTTGTTTTCTCCCCTCAAAATCCTGAACTCCACCATCTCATACTTAGTACATCAAGGCTTTCCCCATTTTTTCATGTCTCTTTCCAGTTCTTCCTTGCTTGCAAATGTGAGCTCTAGCCAAGTGCCTACCCCTTCTTGGCTCCTTGATCACTTCTCATTTCTATCCACAGATATTATGTTCCCAATGATGACTAAGGCCAAATTGTTTTAGGAAGACCTCATCTACTTCTTTCAGGTGATCAGTAGCAGTTACTGACACTGCCATGATGATTGGTCCTTCTGTGTTATCTGTTCACAGGTAGCTAAATCATTTCCACATAGGAAATGATTTCCATAAGTCATGGAAGCATCTTTGAAGGGAGACAGTGGAAAATTGATCCTTTGAGAAATATAAAAATATACTAAAAAAACTATAAGAAGATGTTCCACAAGAAAGAAGCATATTTTGGAAAGGTAAGGAACTGGGTGATACTCTTTTTTTTTCTTCTCCCATCCACTTTCCTTTTTTCTATTACAGCAGCAATGTTCATAATCATTACTGCTCCTGTTTGTTGCTCTAGATAACAGTATGACAACTTGAGTGAATGAGAGGACTTTGCTAATACAAATAATCTCTAAAACTTCTTTTTTTCTTCTTCTTCTTCTTTCCTGTGCTCTGACTTGGTGATTATCTTGGTGTTTTAATTTTCTGACAATCTTAGCATTTATTTTTCCTCCAGTGAAAAATGAATTTCCATTTGACTTTTCATGTTGTTTTCCTTTTCCCTGAACACTCTCTCCTATATCAGATTCTTTTTACTTCAACAATGATCACAAAAAGGTTGGACATGACAGAAACATGTAACAGATGAAGATAATGTTCACTTCAATTTTTTTTTGTTCTCCAGGTATCTGTTGAATTATCTAATCATCTGTATACTTTTATATATCTTATTTTAGATATCTTATTTTATCTCATCTTCCACATCTGTTTTTTGAGGCTTGAATTTTTTTTTAAAGTGCTGCTTGGCATAATTGTGCCAAAAGAAAGAAAGAAAAAAACAAACAAACAAAGAGGGAAAATATAAATGCAATCTTGCAAAGAATGCCCAATGGTCAGTCTCACATAAGCATGGGAAACCTTCTTGCAGATCGTAAAAAATGAAAGTAGAAAGCTAATTTTAGTATATTTGTTAGTTATATGTAATAGTCTTACAATAATCTCAACCTCCAAAAAATACAGAAAAAGAGAAGAGAAAAAGTAGAAAAAAACATGTCAATGGCTGCTGTACTGTAGTATTTCTTTCTTTTCCAAAGTATAATCCAACTTTTTTTTGAATTAATGTACACAAGTCACTTTAACTGCTGGCTGCAAAACTTTTGGCAGTTTGTTTGATATTCCAACCAATCTCTGTGTAAAGAACTGTCTGAATTGTTTATAGGCTTGTCCTTCTGCCCAGAGTTTAGTCCACAATCTCCTATTTTGAACACAATTGTACTTAGGAAGATGTTTGGGCCTTGCACTGAAAGGCTGTGGTTAGTGGGCTGAAGACTCATAGAATTTAGAATCATTAGACATGTTTTTATCAACAGTTAAAAAGAATAAAGCAAAGAAGTAATTCCACATAAGTATTTCCATTCAGTATTCTTACTGTGCAGTGTGACTGTAATTTATATTTTCACAACAAAGTCTATTTTTGTTTCTTAAAATTCCTGGAAATGTAAAGCCACTAAGAAATAAAAAGTGACCTGGCAAATTATTGTCTTCACATTGAATATAGGATAAAAAAGGAACAACAGTAGAAGATGAAGATCAGGAAGATCACGACTATTTCTTCTGTTCTTTTTTCAAATTTAGATGTATGTGTTGCGTTAACAAGGTAGGTATTTTTTGTCACAGTTGCACAGTTATGGAATTTAGTATTGATCTGGTGCCAAGATTCTGTAAAAGTATCTAAACAACATTCTCATGTCTTCAAGAATGTACATAGGTGAACCTGGGCTTTGCATTATCTTATCTTCGTGGTGAAGGGCAGTAGATGGAAGTTGCTATTTTTGAATCTGATCTAACTTTAGCTGAAATGAACAATGTAACACTTCATATTAAAAAACCCTGAGCTATCTCTGAAGAACCTTATTCCCCATTTGAAAGCAATGATGCGTATAACATTGCTTTATGCCTTGGAAAACTAGCTCTGCAAAACAATAGGTTTGATTAGTTTAGGTGCAATATTTTACTGATGCTACTAAAACTGCTACCAGAATTCTTGAGTTATGTCTTCGCAGTTCTGTTTGGAAAGGGATGATGTGAACTCATCCTTTTTGAGTCATCAGAGAATTGAAACAGGGCATTTATTTCCTTCAGACCTATGATCAACTCCTGTGTGAAGAGATTAAGGATCCTGACCTGTTTCTAGGTAAGACCTTTCAGCCTGGAGAAGAGGAGGCTCAGGGGAGACCTCGTTGCTCTCTGTAACTTCCTGAAGGGAGGTTGTAGTGAGCTGGGGGTCGGCCTCTTCTCTCGTGTCATCAGTGATAGGACCAGAGGGAATGGTTTCAAGCTACAGCAGGGGAGATTCAGGCTGGACATGAGGAAGTATTACTTTTCAGAAAGGGTGGTCAGGCACTGGAATGGACTGCCCAGGGAGGTGGTGGAGTCACTGACCCTGGGGGTGTTCAAGGAAAGGCTGGACGTTGTGTTGAGGGACATGGTTTAGTGGGAGCTATTGGGAATAGGTGAACGGTTGGACTGGATGATCTTTTAGGTCTTTTCCAACCTTGGTGATTCTATGATTCTATGATTCTAAGACATGTTATCGTCAAAACCAAACGAACAGTACCCGCAATAATGTAAAAGACAGGAAGTTTTATTGAAGTTGTAATTAACGCTGCAAAGTAAAACACTGTAAGAACATTTATTAAGCTACAGGTTTTGTCTGCTTGGTATTTCTTTCAGACTGCCTAGCATATTTAGATATATTTAAAAGACAAACAGTCTCAGAATGATCAGTAATTGAGAACACACTGAAGATAGATAGGGAAAGGGGAAAAGGTAGTGCTTACCATTAGAGATGAGGAAAAAGAGCAGATAGAAGAGACTGATTAATTTAAATACAACCACACACACCCCACAATCTCGTTTTGAACGCATAGAAGATGAAGAATTGGATAACACTCAACATATAAATGTCAGGAATAAATTGTGCCAATTATCAGGTTTTGTCAAGCCAAACTACAGCAGAGCAACAGACCCTGCTTAGAAAAGAATAAGGGAGTCTATCTCAATTTTATTAAAACTTCATATATTAAAACTATAATATATCTATAATTATTCCACATTCCAACAGGAAATTGAGGCATATAATATTCTCAATGAATCTACTACAGAGTGGATACGAAAGGAGTTCACTAAGTATATCTAAAGAACTACTTTTTACTAGTTGTTTGATCTACTGAATAAGCATCTATTGTACCTTTGGTGTTCAAGGGTTTTAGTAATGTCCTTGATAGTGATATAGAAAAGCCTTATGAAATTTCAGTTGACGCTAACTCCATATACACTGAAAGAAATTGATAGATTCAGAAATTATATTTACATAAAATTACATAAAATATATTTACATAAAATTCAAGGCTTTTTGACAAACAAATGTAAGCTGTTGCATTTGCTCAGAATAATCAACAGTGTAAATTCAGGATGGAGAACCCAACACTGCAAAAAAAGTACTAGGGTTCATGAATCTCAAGATTAATGTTAGTTAACAAAGTGATTTAAAAGGAGAGTTTTGGATATATTGGAGCTGGTTAGTCTATAGATGGGAGGACAACTTGGGGGAATAAACAATAGTACAAGCTGTTGCAAGAAAGGTTCTGATTAGAAGTACAGAAAACAGTTCTAATAGCAAGGGGGATGAAGTGCTGGAAGAGATTGCCTAACAATAGCTTGGAGCATCCATCAACAGATTAGACAAACATCTGTTAGGAATGACATGGTTATAACCAAGCTTGCCATGGTGTGGGAGGAGTGGAAATGGGTAACCTCTGGAATGATTCTGTGTTTCCGTTTATGATATTTTTCCTGCAGAACTCTTATTAAAAACAAGAATTGCAAGAAAAGCACTAGTGATTCCTGCCTTCTGCACACAGTTTTACTGCAGTGCATATCTTCCTCCACATGAGGTAGGACCAGCTTGGCAGTTATTGATTTTATTTAGCAGGAAGGTTTTTTACTTCATTTGCTCTATTACTATTCACATAGTGCAGAGCAGCTTTGGCCCAAGTTCATTGTCAGATAGCATGGTTTAATAGGTAGGTCACTGTGTGCACTCAGACAACTGAAGTGTTTCTTGCTTTACCACACTGATTATTTTTGTAACCCATCCTAAATCCCTTTGGCTCTGTTTGGATTCTTTCCTGCATTTTGTTCATGATATCTATTTGCACTGCATGATTCAAGGTCCTGCTTCATGTGAGCTCTGGGAAGATGGTGTTACTACACTCTGGGTGTTACGGCACCTGGGGTTATGGAGCTTGAATTTAAATGAGTCTTCAGTGTGTTACTGTAACACGTGTAGCAAGCCACAACAACAGACACTGAAGACAGGAGTCTTTCTGTTGCCTGGAGTGGAAGTTGTTGTATAAGGATCTGAATGAAAAAAAAAAGATCTTAAAGGGATATTCTTGGTTACTATTCTCTTCAGTTGTCTTTGCATCTTTGTACCACTGTATTCTGCCATTCTTATTTGCATGTTCAAACTGTCAACTTACTCTGATTTGATGCGTCCCTGCTGTAGCATTCTGATAAGTGGAATGCATGAAATACGCCTTTCATATGAGCAAGAATTCTGATCTTGCTCAGACATCTCTGTGGCCAAAATCTGATATTTTCTGTCTAGTCATAGAGTTCAGAGGTCATGCTTGTAACTTATCTAGTAAAGTATAGTAGAGAATTGGCTGGTACAGGAAGTATATAGAGAATGGAACATTTTTAAAATTATATGTAATTCATATACATGTATTGAGCTTGGAACAAAAATCATAGCATGTGACGTGAGAAATACTTATTTAGTTTTACTGTCATTTTATAGCAGTATTTCTTTAAGTTTTACATAATATATCTTTTTTCATTGGGGAAAAAATCAGACTCTAGCAAATGGTGAGACAGCTTAAAAATAATTGTAACTAGGAACTGGGCCATGATTAAAATTGTTCAGCTGTTTGTTTTATTGTTTGTTCCCAAAACCTTAAATGCACTCTATGAGAACAATAACAACAGTTAGCATGTAACTCCATATGGGCCAATTCTTGCAGTCCTCACTCAGTCCTTTCTTACTCAGAAAAACTTTTTAGAGTGCTTTGCAAAGAGTCAGGGTTGGAACTGTGTGTTCTAATTGTTTTGTAATATTAACATGGTAGCTACCATGGAATAAGAAAAAAAACCAAAAAAAAAGAACCAAAAAAAAAAAACAGAAAGAGAAATAGATTGAAGACTGTCTGGCTACTAGCACATTTGGATTCAGGAAGAGTTTAGAAGAATGTAGACACTGATGTCTCCTCCGACAATGTCCGTATCTCAACTTCATGATGAGGATGATAATGATAAAAACTAGAAAGAAAAACAAAATGTAAAGTAAACAATGATGGCTATTTGCTACATAAGCTATAAACATAAGCAAGTTTGTAAGTAAGAAATTTACTGTGGATGACCTTAGCTGGCACACAGAATCACAGAATTGCTCAGGTTGGAAAAGACCTACAGGATCATGAAGTCCAACCTCAAACTAACTATACTACCCTAATTCTAACAACCCACCACTAAATCGTGTCTCGGAGCACCGCATCCAGATGATCTTTAAACACATTCAGGGGTGGCAACTCAACCACCTGCCTGGGGAGCTTGTTCCAGTGCTTAACAACCCTTTCTTGATATCCAACCTAAACCTCCTCTGGTGCAACTTGAGGCCATGTCACCTGTCATCTGTGTGAAGAGACCAAACATGGAAAGTGTTAATTTTTTGAGGCATTTGCTGGCTTTCTTGGTTGTATTGATCTCCAGATTGGTTTGATCTCCTTGGAAATACAAGTGCTTGCACTTCTATTATTAAGAATGAACTTTCTTTGTATACATTTTCCTAAATGTTCATCTGTGTTTCCACTTTCAGGACAATCTTCTAAGAATGGTGGTGAAACATAAAGAATTGTAACCTGTTTCAGAGGTAAGGAGCTGCATTTGGTGTGGGATTTTCAAAACTCTGTAACATATATACAGCTGCTAGAAGATGAAGTATTACATAAACGTGTGAAATTTGCTCCCAGAGAGTTTACTTACAGTTAACTACAGTGCATACTGACAGTAGACTACATAATTCACAATACCTTTTAACTATAAAACGTCTTAATATTTTGATTTCACTGAGCTTTAGTTGGGTTACCAAGTGTGCATGGAAGACTTAATTTAGGAAAGGCTACTGTAAGCACAGTTTGAACCTTTTCTCTTGGGAGAGGTATTGAAACCTCATACATATTTTAGGATGGTAAGAATCTGGTGATACTGTAGGAGCCTCATTTAAAGCCCTTTAAATGTCAATATTAAAAATTCCTTTGCCTCAGTGGATTCTGGACCAAGCAGCACGCAAGAGCAACTGAACTAAGGATTTTGCTGACTGTAACATATAGTATATGCAGTACAGTTTTATAAAAAAAGCAAACACATTTGCTAAGAATTATTTTTGCTTTACTGATGTTTTAAGAAGTAATTTGATGTAGTATAGTGAAAAGGACATAAAATATTCTAGGTTTGAGTCATTAGAACCAGATGGTCTTTAAAGGCTTTTGTCTAAACTAGAATTGGGAAAGTTTGTAAACTCTGGATAGTCTGAAAATATGCTCAAACTTCATATATCAGATATGCCCAGTTTTATAATGTGAAATTCTTTGGCTGTTTTCCTGACACCCTAGTAAGGTGTTATACAATTTAGGCAATTATAATAAAATTTTGGATGCTACTGTTATTATTGTTCTGCTTTGGAACTGGAAAAACAACAAAATTGCCCTAATGCAGTCTAGTGGAGAATATCACAGGGAAGAATTAATAGGGAAAATAATTTTTATTACTTAATATTAATTTGTTGTGTTTACATCATAGGTCATATTTGTTTTGTGGAAAAGGTCAGAAAACAGCAACAAGAAAACCCAAATCTCTCATTCTGGAAGGATGACAAATGTTTTCTCTTCAAAATAAGAGCAGTATTGTTAGTGGAACAACACTATTTGACAGTGACCAGTCAGAACTGCAGAATGCAATACTGAAATAATATTGATCATCACAGGGTAATACGACAGCTGTTGAAATTAAATATGTCACTACAGTCGTGTGGCAATCCTTCTGCATCCTGGACGATATACGGCCTTTAGGCAGCTACTAATCCTACTTACTTGAGTAGTCTGAAAGGTGGAGGGAGGAGGCAGTATCTATGATGGTAGGAATTCACACAAATTGTTGAGGGGATATAGAGACAACCTGAAGTTTATTTCACATTGCTAATATAGATTGTGTGAAGGATGACTGTCTACACAGAAGTTACCTATATTTAAGATCAGAGATAACTTTTATTTTCTTCTTTTCTGACTTGTAGAAATGACAACAAAATCTGGTAATCTGAAATTGAATTAGAATGTGTCAGGAGTCTTTGGATGCTAATCTGAAAGGTCTTGATGACATTTTCATACAATATCTTGGGCATTAGGAGTGGATTTTGTAAACTTTTTTTTCTCTGTGATTCCTACTAATCCCTCTCACGTGAAAACTTCTTTTTCTGATGTATTAGTAGTTTCACTGTCCCCAAGTGTAAAGGAAATGTGTCTGCATACAGCAAGCAGTCAAGCAGGATCAGATTTTCTCTGCAGGAACTTGTTGATTTCAATACATTTGTTGATTTCAATACCAGAAAGATGAACTTGCAAGTATATATCAAGCAGATTTCAGTGTGGGTTCTCTATGAATATGGGCTGGAATGAAATGTAAAGTCCTTTCAGAATGTTAAACTACCTTTTAGAGAAACCAACATTTAAAAACATAGTAATAAGTGAGCTACAGAAGGCAGCACAAGTGCTCAATTCAGCAGCATTGTGCCTTTGAAGATGCCAAGGTTCAGTTATAAATTGTATATGCCACTTTTTTTTTCTTCTTTTTTTCTGTCAAGATGCATAAGCAAACACCTGGTAGATATACTAGACTGATTTTCTTTGTGTAGGTGTGTATATAGGTACACATGCAAACACTTCTTATCATGCAGTTGTCTGCTAATGGTTGTGAATTTGTATCTTTGATTTGCACAACTAAGTCAGGTGGGCACACATGTGGCCCTGCAAATATTGACAAGATAATATGTCCTTTTGTCCCCTGCAGTTTCACAGGATGATGGATTAGGATTTTTTTAATGTTTCTTGGTTCAGAACCTTTCCTTTGAATCTTAAAGTCAAGTGAAACATGCTCCAAAGACTTTGTCCATAACAATTGGCAATTTTCCTATGTTAAGGAGTTGAAGTGAAAGCTTTTATTATGTCAACCTGCTCAACTAGGTTCTTCCAAGTTTAAATATAAAATAAAAAATGAAATGATTGGTGTAAAGTCATGACATACACAGTTTTCTGTGCAAAATCATGTATTTCTTTTGTTTGCTTTACTATTTATTAATTTGTTTTGGAGATGCTTACATCTTAATGAGGCTTTTGAAAAACTTACTCTGTGTTTAAAGTTTCTAAGAGAATTTGAAGCAAGACAAACAATGTGGTTTTGGGTTTTGTTGTTAACATTTCTCAACTCTGTCCATGTCATAAAAAACAACATATTCATTTGTATGATTTGGCCTTAGGGCACAGGAAGAGGTGTGGAATGAACAGTGGAGAATGCACTGGATGTGTAGTAGAGCTTTGGATCAGAGAGACTGTCTCAGAAGCTTGTGAATTTGGAAAAAGCCACGTGTCCATTAAAAAAATATATATATATATCTTGACTTGGATGGTTATAAGCCATTTTCCTAAACTATGAGCTACAACTCCCTGAGGAGGGGAAGCCTAAAGGGAGGTGCTGGTTCTTCTCCCTGATAGCCAGTGATAGGATATGTGAGAACAGCACAAGGTTGCACAGTGAAGGTTTGGACTGGATAATATGAACAATTTCTTTAATAAGACAGTGGTCAGAAGCTATCACAGGCTTCGTAGGGAGGCTGATGATGCCCTATGCCTGTCAGTGTCCAAGAGACATTTGATCTCTTTTCTCCTGTCCTTTCCTCTCTGAAAAACCCCAAGTCTTTGGGTCTCAAATAGTAAAATTACTCTAAAAAACGGATCTCAGAAAAAATAGTTAAATTTGTAACTGGCAATCAGTATTAATTTATATTAAAACATACTTCAGTTTTGGCCCACCAAATTAATGAAGTGTACAGAGAAGTCTTTGCAGAAAAACAACTGACGTTTTTTTCTTTAGAGCTAATTTGTTGCTTTGCCTTTTGCTCCAAGTACTCGCTGCCATTGATGCCAGAAGTAGGGATTTAGTTGTGATCCCGAGACAACTTTAGAACCAAAAGATGAGTGCATTTTATTTGAAAATTAAAATCCAGCTTGTCCACACTTGCCAGGAATTGGTTGGATAATTTGGAGCAGAAATTCATTCTCTACTTTGCATTGGGTGACAAGGTGGAAGCATACTGTCGTTCTCAGTAAGAGAATACCCTGAGTGCTAACTCAGGCATTGACTCTCGCCTTGGAAGAAAAGCACAACAGGAGTCTTCACGGTAGGGCATTGAGAGGCTCATTTTACATACTCAAGCTTCTAACGGCAGAAGGGACCACAGTGAGTGCTGTCTGTCTCTGGCATAGCACAGAATTTTGAAGAGTCATTACTGCTCCCCACATCTGTTATACGATTCTATAATAGCTCCTATTCCAATGCATATCCACAAACAGGATGGTTTTAACATGCATCAAGTCAGCCAGCCAGACAGATGTTTTGAGGCACATAATATAATTATTGATATGAAAATAAAAACAAGGTATCTTATAAAAGCAGCCACTGTCGGATAGTTATGGATTAGATCATCAGTCTTGTTGCTTTAACAAACCCCGTATTCATTATCGTAGCTAAGGGCACTTTTTTCTTTGCCAGAATTGGCTGTCCTCTTAATGAATATTGCAAATCGTAACCCAAATTATATGCCTTAAACTGTCTTCATTTTTTATTTGCAATGCTGTTCAGGAGCTTGATTTGTGTTATTGCAAAGCATTTCACCGATGGAAGAAAGGGAGACTGACATGCAATGAATGGGCTGCAGAATTCTGTGTGGACAAGCAGTAACTCAACCTTCTGGTACAGAGTCATCTCCATCTTGTGTTTGGACTTCACTGTGAACTCTGTCTCCTCTGAGCTCCCTCACAGGAATTATAGTGCTGACTTTGACTCTGTTTTGATGAAGACTCAAAGTTTTACACCGAGCAGATTTAAGACTGACTGCTAGTGCTGTATCTCAGCTCTACTAATGTCAAAAATAGAAAGCTTGGGGGAAAGAAATGAAAACATATTGAATTTTTGCTCCTGAGTGGACTAGAAATTTGAATTTTTTTTCCTTTTATTTCCCATTCCACCTCTAGATAATCGTAGAATCATAGAATGCTTTAGGTTGGAGGGGACCTTTAAGATCATTTGGTTCCAAACCTTCTGTTATAGGCAGGGATACCTTCCTCTAGACTAGGTTACACAAAGTCCTATCCAGCCTGGCTTTGAATGTTTCTAAGGAGGGGGCATTTACAAAGATGCTGGGCAACCTGTTCCAGTGTCTTACCACCCTCACAGCAAAAAGTTTCTTCCTAATATCTAGTCTAAATCTACCCTCTTTCAGTATAAAGCCATTTCTCCTCATCCTATTTGCCCTCCTCTACTACCTGCCTTTATAAACAGTCCCTCCCCAACTTTCCTGTTGGCCCTCTTCAGGTACTGGTAGGCCACTATTAGGTCTCACTGGAGCCTTCTCTTCTCCAGGCTGAAGAGCCCCAGCTCTCTCAGCTTCTCCATATCGTAATAGACATAAAAGACATAATAATGTCTTTTCTCTTTTGTAAGACTGTGGACTAACTTTGGGTTTAAAAACATTATAAGAAAAAGAAAAATCATAATAAAACCATAAAAAGAAATCTGTTAAAAGATACTGAGAAAGAATTT